TGACCCCCCCCTGCGCCCCCCCCCCATCCCGGAAGCTCCCCAGGGCCGTGTCCTGGTGTCCTGCTGCGCCGTGATGCAGCTGCCGTTAATTATTGATATAAAAAGCACTCGCTGAAGAGCCGCTTCGTGCCACCATGCCCACCCCTGGATCCCCGCACCGGCAGCTCCCCCTGGTCTCGCCCCGCTCCTCTGGCTTTGCTTGGTGACCCCCCCGCCCCCATGGGCTGTCCCTGCTCCCAGGGTTTAATCCTGCCTGGTCCTGGGTCTCTCCCCGCAGGGATGCTCCGTGCGGTGGCCAACCCTCTCCTCCACCCTGAGGGTCAAAGCCCCTTCAGCTGCTTTACCTTTGGGGTCATTGCTCCCCTGGATGGGGGGGTCCCCCTCCTCCCTAGGGACCCCCATGGTGAGCGATGAGGGGGGGTCCCCATCCCTGAGCATCCCTCTGCCTGCCGTGCTCTGCCCGTAGCCATTTCACTCCTCGATGGGCTTTTACGGGAAAACCCTTCCCGGCTTCGATCCAGCCTAAGCATCCCGGCTCCCCACGGCTGGGGCTGCTTCTACCGGGGCGGAAAAAAGGCTGGGGGGGGGCGGTGGGGAGGTAAAAGCATCTTCAGAGCCGTGCACGCACCCAGCGAAGGCGTTTGCGGGGGGGGAATAACCGGGCGAGATGGAGGATGGTCCATGGGCCGACTCCTGCTTGGGGTTTGGATGCCATCAGCACCAGAAATATCAATATTCAGACCCTGGTGGCATCCTGGGTCCCTTGGCCATTAAATGAAATGTCCCCTGGCCCTTGGGGTCTGTGCCCCCCGCCCAGGCATCCCTGCCGGGGTCGTGGGCGCTGGATGTGACCAGGGAGCAGAACGAGGTCGTTTTCCCGCTCCCACCCCGGAGCGGAGCCAGACGAGGGGCGATGCTGAGCAGGGATGTGGCCCATCCTTCGCAGGGGATGTGCTGGGTGAAGCGACTCCCGAGTCATCCGGGCTCCCCCCTCCCCGAAACCCTGGGCAGGCTGAAGGAACGGTTAATTCAGGGCTTTATCCGCAAACACTCACGGGCTAAAAATATCCCTCCCGCGGGCAGCACCATTCCCGGCCAGCGCCGTGCCGGGAGCTTCCTTGCCTTTTTTGACGGGATTGTGGCTCACGACGGGGCAGTGCCCGGGCTCCCGGCTGAGATTAGCACAGAATCCCAGCTGCTGGGGGATCCGGAGGGATGGATGAGGGACCAGGGATGTCACCTCGGTGGCCGTAATGTCCCTGCCGGAGGTGAGTGCTGTCCCTGCATCAGGGATGTCCTTGGTGGGGCCGTCCTTGTCACCGGGTGCTTTTATCCCGGTGCTGGAGGAAACCCTGGAGGGTGGGACTGGAGGTGCCATCCTGACTTGGCAAATAACCCATGGGGAAAACTGCCTCCATCACCCCCTTGTCACCCTTCAAACCTGGGGTGGCTTCACCCGTCACTCCAAGAGCCACCCCAGCAGCCCAACCCTGGGCAGTGCTGATTTGGGTCCCCTTATTGGAGCCGTGCTGGGCTAGCCTGGCCAGTGGGCAATAAGCCACGTGTGCCACATACCCGTCCAGCGCTCCTTTATCGGTGTGGTGGCATCGGCAGCTTGGCACAGTGTGCTGGACCCTGGGACGCTCGGCCGGGAGGGAGCCGGGTGCTGCAGGGTGTGAAGCAAAGCACCCTCCTCCCCCTCACATCCCCCGTGCGAAGCCCGCCCAGCACCTGGTGCTGTTTGGGGACCCGGTGCCGGCCACCGAGGAGACCTCGGGGCCTCGGGACTCCCCACTGGGGTGTCCCAGCCACCCTTGGAGCAGGCGGGGTGCAGGGGACCCCTCTAGAAGGTGGGTGCCCTCTCACCCATGACAAGGGCGACCTGGGTGGCTTGACTGGCACCGAGGCTATTATTAGCCACCCTCGCCCACGTCGGCAGCTCATTAAGTTTTTCCCGTTGTGGTAGCGGATGTGGGTCAACGTTTGAGGTTTCGCTGTTGATTTTTTTAATTTCCTCTTCAAAACAGATGAGTTTCCTCCCTCCTTGCTGACGACAGATGCCGCCGGGGGCCGGGCGCGGCGGTGGGGTGGCGGGATGCCACGGCTGATGGCCCCTTGCCGGAGATAGGCAGCGCTCGGTGGGGCTGCCCGGCTGCCCCCCACGGTGGTAAGTGCCGGAGCCACACGGAGGGATTTGGGGGTGGTTATTGCCCCACGAGGGGTTGCAGGGCAGGGGGGGCCTGGGGGGCCGTGGGGATGGAAAGCGGAAGAGCAGGAGGTGGATGGACCCGGGTTTGGGGGGGAAGAGATAGGGCCATGGGGGTGATGGGGACTCCAGGCGTCCGGGAGAGACAATTCCTGTACCTGGAGCAAATGGAAAACTCTTTCGTGGCAGCAAAGGGACAAGGAGCGGAGTGGGGACCAGAGGGGCTGAGGGGGACGGGGCTGGGGGCAGCAGGGGATGGGGCTGGGATGCTCCAGGACGCGGCAGGACAAACAAGCCCTGGTGTCCCAGCCCCCGGCCACGTGCCCTGGGTGGGCTGGATGTGGCCTCAATGAAGAGCTTGGCTACAAGGCCACTGCTCCCTGAGCCCCCCCTCAGCCCCCCCCCCAGCCCGATTCCTGGAGGTGACATCCCAGCCCTGAGCATCACAGGGGTCTGGGATGGCCCAGATGGGTGCTGCTGCCGGGTCCTGCCTGGGGCTTCACCCCGTCCCTCACCCTGCCTGTCAAGAGGTGAAATGGGGAAATGGTGACAAGGTGCCCTCCCTCCGCCGGGGACTTTCGGCGCAGCTGCAGCACGGTGCCGTGGGCTGGGGGATGAACCACGCTGGCCTTGGGGCTGAGGGGCCGGCACCGTGGTGGCTCTGCAAAGGGTTTCCCTTCCCATCGGTGAGGTGGGTGATGGCTGGACCAGGATGCTGGTGCTGCAGGAGATGGCTGGACCGGGATGCTCCTGCTCCAGCAGCGCTTGGGTGATGGCTGGACTGGGATGCTCCTGCTCCAGCAGCGCTTGGGTGATGGCTGGACTGGGATGCTCCAGCAGTGCTCAGCCGTGGGGACGCGTGGCTGGAGCAGGCGGGTGGCTCAAGTAACCTGTCCCCTGTGGCTGCAGGGGTGCGGTGGGGGTCTGCCCAGGCTGGGGGGGTCCTTGTCCCCAGGCAGAACCTGTGCTGGGGAGGGCAGAGGACGAGGGACCAGGTGTCCTCAGTGGGTGCCATGGAGCCATGGAGGAGCTGGATGCCGGGAGCTTGGAATCCTTCAGGTCCTTCAGGAACAGGGGACTCCCTGGGGACATGGTCCCTCACTTTGCTTGGAGGATGTAGGATGAGGATGGGATGGGAATCAGCTCCCTGTGGGAGCCAGGGGGGAGAGGTGCCAGTTGCCCAGTGGGCAATCTCTGGGTTCTGGAGATCTGCATCATCTGCCCCGAAGCGTGCCAAGCCGTGGTGCAGCTCTGCGTGCCTTATCTCAGCCCCGGCAGCTCTTCCGTTCGCTCCAGCAGCTCCGTCCCTGTCCCCCTCCAGCCCCTGGGTGCAGCAGGCACCCATCGGCACCCAGGGCAATACCTGGGCAGGGGCAGAGCATCCCTGGGATGCCCAGAGCCCACCCTGCACCTGCCCATGGAGCATCCAATGGTCCCACCCCATAGGCAGGAGGTGGAGGAGACCCCGCCATCTTCACGGCTCTCCTGTCCCCTGCAGGGAGACCCCCAGCCCAGCCGGTGCTGCGGCCATGGAGGGCTCGTCGGTGCTCAGCCCTTCGTCATGGGAGAGGCGGCGTGCGTGGGCCAGGCAGAGCCGGTGCTGGCGGACCACCGTGGTGGAGGAGGAGGCGGCCGCCGCCATGCAGGATGTCCCCGAGCTGCAGCCACCCCATTTGGATGACGTCTTCCTCGAAGGTCGGGGGGACCCTGGGGTTGCACATGGGACAGGGGTCCCCACGAGCTGGGTCATCTCACGGGTGTTTCTGTGTCCCCCCCCAGGAAGCCCCTCCAGCAAGATAGAGACGTGGCTGCAGGAGTGCGGGTGAGCCGGGGGGGCAGGCGAGGGCAGACCTGGGGGTCCCTCTGCCGCGGTGCCATTCCCACGGGGATTTTGGTGTCACCGCGGGGGCGGTGAGGGTGGTGGGACGATGCTCACGCTTGGTCTCCAGGGTCTCCCGGGGATTTGGGGTCCTTGGGATTGGGGGTCTGCTGAGGGGACCCCCCTTTTCCGAGCATCCCACCATGGCGCACCCACCTGCATGCCTGGCTGCTGTCCCTTTGCTCTCACCCTGCACCCCACCATCTGCATCCCTGTCCCCACTGCCTGTCCCACTGCTCTCAGGTCTCCCGTCCCACCACCAGCCCCCCTAGTATGGGGACAGGGGGATGTGACTGGGGTTTTGGTCTGGCACAGGTCATCGGTGGAGGTCCCACCGGAGGAGCTGGGCTTGCCGGGCCCCTACGGTATGTCAGCTTTGCCCCGGTGCTTCTCCCAGGGTGCTGAGGCTGGTGCTCCCTGTGTGGACCACTACCCACGGGGTGTGTGCGAGGTGCAGGGGGACGAGCAGGGACGTCTTTGAGGACCCTGAGACCTGTCCCCAACTCTGGATGTCCCTGCACCTCGCAAGGCTTTGCTCTCTTTCAGTGTGTGGCAGCAACGGGACCAGCTTTGAGGATGACTTGACCCTGGGAGCTGAAGGTACCAACCACCTCCAGGCACGCTGGGGTGTCCCCTCCTGCGGTGTCACTGTCACCCCACGGGCAGAGCTGACCCAGCAGAGGCCGGGGAGCTGGGGACAGGCAGGAGCAGACCCAGAGGGGACTGTCCCCAGGCTCTGCATCCCCTGGGGCTCCGGGCTGTGGCTGCAGGGGAGAACATCTCCCAGGGTGGCGAGTATGGGACCAGTCCCCAAAACACCCCGTCTCACTCCCTGCCGCCTCTCTGCTCCCTTTTCCCAGCTCTTTTGCTACCGAGGAGTGACAAGGCCATGGGCAGGTGAGGTTTGGGGGCCTGGCGGAGGCTGGCGGGGGGCCTGGGGGCACGGTCCCCGTGCATCCCGCTGGCAGCATCCCCTTCGCTCAGCCTCGTCCCCCCTCCCTGCCCGCAGAGTTCTGCGGGACAAGCACCTCAACCTGGGGCACAGCATGGCGTCCAGTGCCCTCTCCAGCCTCACCACCAAGACCAGCTCCAGGTAGGAGCTGGGAGGGTCTCTGAGGGGGTTGTCGGGTCACCCCCTCATGAGACCGGTCCCTGTGGGGCTGAGCTGGGGCTCTCCCCCCACCCCGCAGCATCTCCGAGGTCCTGGAGTGGTGGGAGGCGGACGCCGAGGAGATCCTCTACAACCTGGGCTTTGTGCAGAGCGAGCCGGAGGCCGTGGCCCGCATCCCCGCACGCTTCTTCTCGGCTCCTTCCCGTGCCAAAGGCATCGACTTCCAGCTCTTCCTCAAGGCCCAAGTGCGGCGCATGGAGATGGAGGATCCCTGCCTGATGCTGGCCAGTGAGTGACACCCTGCGTCCCCAAGCCCCCCGCCCAGGGAGACACCGACACATGGGGTGGGATCCACCATGCTGGTTGGGCTTTGCTCTTTTGAGGTGGTGGGAAAGATGCTCCCGTGCCTCAGTTTCCCCATGCATGAACTGGGAGAACACGCCCAGCCCGCCCTACCCCTGCTGCAGCCCCCTGCCCCACCGAGCATCCCCCACCCCACAGCCCCCCCCGACACTCCCCCACCCAACTCCTTCTGGCCCTCCAGGTCGTTTCCAGCAGGTCCAGGCTCTGGCTGCAACGGCCGATGCTTTCTTCTGCCTCTACTCCTACGTCTCGCGGACCCCCGTGCAGCGCATCTCCCCCTCCCGCCTCGCCTGGGCTTGTACCGACGTCCCCAATATCCGCATCGCTCCCACCCAGCCCAGCACCCTTTCGCCCGTGGAGCGCCTGAAGAAGGCTGTGTCCACCATGTGCCTCTACACGTCCCCACGGGATGAGGACAGCCCACGGGGGACCAGCCGGCTGCCCACCGTGCCCACCAGCCAGCCCAGTGCCATGGGGAAGGTGGTGCAGGAGGTGCTGGAGCGGGCGCGGGAGGAGAGGTTTCGGTTCGATCCGGCCGATGTCCTTGAGGGCTGGGGAAGGGACGGGGATGCGGGGATGGCGCAGCACCGGCGGGGAGCAGAGGGGTCCCCACCGGTGTCACCGTCACTGCGGCTGGTGCAGGGTGTCCCTGCGTGTCCCGATCACGGTGGTGTGGATGCCCCGACGTGCTGCGGAGGGGAGCGGGAGCCATCCCCGAGGCCAGCCCCAGCGGGGACACCGGTGGGTGCTGCACGGGGACACTTGGAGCGGTCCTGTCCCCATGGCGGGGGGAGCGGTGACAGCCCTGCGGGGGTGGCTCAGGGGGCCGGGGATGCTCCGTGCCCCATGGGAGCAGGACGGATCAGCACGGAGGAGAACCAGCCGGACACTGCTGCAAATGTCACCTTGTCCGCAACGCCGGCTCCCATGGCCCCCCACTCCGGCCAGATATGGGTCACCCCTGAGCACCCAGAGGGGCTGGGATCCGAGGGGGACTCCGGCTTCGGCTCCGGCTCCTGGGGGACCTTGCCCAGGAGGAAGGCAGGGTACCACGGGTGCCATCCGGGTGACCCCCTGGACCCCGCTGGGGCACATTCCCCCAGCTCAGACACACCAAGAGCTGGAGGTCACCGGGCTCGGCGGAGCAGGGGCTGGCGCCGGGGGGGACCCCTGAAGGACACCGGGTGGCAACAAGGCGATGCACCGGGGCTGCAGACCCTTGGGAAGAGCCCCTCACCCCACCGTCCCAGCTGGCAGGAACCCGTGGACTCCTTCGAGATGGAGGAGGTGAGGGTGCGATGCCCAGGTGATGGGCGCAGAGGGGTGGGGGGCAGGAGGGGGCTGGGAGAGGGGGGCAGCAGCACAGGGGGTCCCTTCGGGTGGCAGGTGACGCTGGGTGAGCCAGCGTGCAGTGGGAAGGAGCTGGAGCGGGAAATGTCCCCGGAGTGTTCTCAGGCTTTTAAGTTTTGAATGATTTAGAGCTTCAAATGGAGCCTCTTGCAGGGGGGAGCTGGGGTCACGGGCGCAATGGCCAGCTCTTGCTCACGCACGCACGCACGCCTGCGTGGGCTTGCACACACGCATGAGCATCTTTGCACACATGCACAAGCATCCTTGCACGCACACACACGCACACAGAGGGATGCATGGGTGTACACACACGTGCTGATGCACTTTTGCACGTGCATACTTGTGCACTGACATGCTCACCTGGTGCAGCTCCTCACCCAGCCCCGCCGTGTCCTGCCTTGCAGGTGCTGAGCGCCAGTGAGGAAGATGATGATGATGACGGCGATGCCCGCAAGGAAGCCATCCGGTCCCTCCATCCCTCCATCGGGATCCGAAGAAGTAAGTTGTGGGGGTTTCCCACCCTCTTGGGGGGCACCAAAGGCAGTAGTGCTGCCAGCCCAGCGGGTGCCCGGTGCCAGTGTGTGTCCCCCGCTGTGTCCCCCCTGTCCCCCTGCTCCAGGCTTCATGCTGCACACCAGCAGCGGGCAGTCCGACAGCAGCGGCTTCGTGGAGGAGCCGGTGTCCGGCCAGCTGCCTGCTGCCCGGCTCCATGGCCCTGACCAGACGGCCTGAGGCCACTGCAGAGGGACCTGAGTTTGTCCAGGCACTGGCAGGAACCACGGCTGGGTGCCGGATGGACCGTACCGTACCGCTGCATTTCGGACACAGACACCATCCTCAGCTGAGGGCTGAGCACTGCGTGTACACGTGTGGGTGTGGATGCACGTGTGTGTGTGCACGTGTGTGTGCACGTGTGGGTGTTTGGCACAGAAAACCTTTTGACTCAGGAGTTTTGCCCCAAGGGGCACATGCGTCCCCCCTCCACCCAGCCTGCTGGTGCTGGGGCTGTGGCTACAGCGGAGAAGCACTGGGGACATCTCGCCTGTGCCTTGCTCTTGGGGACATGGCTCGCACTTTGGTCACGGTCGGTCGCTCGTGCTGCAGTGCCTGTAACACTAGGACAGGGGTTTGCTGGGCAGAGCCAGCAGCACGCTGGAAATAAAGTTCCCAAAGGGATGATGGTGGCTGTGTCGCTGCCTGGAGCTGGTGGGATCCAGCCCTGCCCACCCCCTCTGGGGTGGAAACCCCCAGCACAAGCCCTCCCAGTGCCCCAAAGGGGCCTGAGCTGGGGGGCTCTGCTCGGCTCTGGGTCTTCCCTGGGGACAGAGGAGCTGCCACCGAGGCTGGGGCGTTCCTGCCCTACAGACTCCACGTACCATCCCACCCGGCTCGCGGTGGGGCTGGGGAGCTGTGGTGCCTCCCACGGACACGTGTGCCCTGGCTGGGGTGCAAGCCCGGGGGTAGGACTGGAGCGGTGGGTGCTGCTCAGGACTTTTTTGGCCTCTCCATCTTCTCTCTCCCTAGCTGAGCCTCCCTTCTGTCTCCTTATCAGGGTACTTCATGGCTCCAAGCCTGCTCTTCATCTTCCTGCCACCTTATCTTTCTGGCTCGGTGTTCTTCCCCTCCGCACGATCTGGGCATCTGAAGGAAACCGCACTGAGACGATGCTGGGTCTGTGCCGACAGCTCCTTAACCCCTCCGGTGCCGCTGCCGCTGCACACCCAGGCAGGACACGGGCAGATTTATTGGTGGCTTTTGCCCTAGGTGATGTGGGCACCGAACAAGGACACGGCCCCGAATTGGGTGGTGGAGGGTGGTGGGTCCTGGCTGGGCACCCCAGCAGCCTCCTGCGGGGCTCACCCAAAAGTGGCCACAAGCCACAAATTCAGGGTCCGGCTCTGCTCCTGCCCCTCCAGATCTACCCAGGGGACAGGGACAGGTCACAAGTCACCCCAGGCCAGTGCTCCATGATGTTAGGAAGGAGCCACCATGGTCCCCCTCCTTCCTGGACTCTCAAGGTCCCCATCCCAGCTGCCCACCACAGCGGTGGTCCATGACCCTCCGCTGTCGGGTGCAAGGATGACACCAGCCCCAGGGCATCAGCGCTTGAGTTACTGGAAAAGAAAAGTCCTGTTGGATAAACAAACCCCAGGGCTTCCCTATGGAGAGCAGCCAAAGACGGGATTATCCTGGATTAGCCCCACGGCCCCTCCGGCACCAAGGCTGGCTCCCACAGCCCGTCCTGGCTGTGCTGTGGGTCCTGTGGGGGGGTGGGGGGAACAGTCCCAACCTGCCAGGGCTGCTCCATGCTGGTTTGAGCTGCTCAGGGCTGTGCTTTATCCTCCTCCTTGGTCTCTGCAAAGGGGTCCACGGGGGACCCCCTAAACCTGGAGCTGTGGCAGTGACCCCCAGGCACCTTCCTGCTCCCCTGGCTCTGCCCGTCCCCAGCTCATCCGAGGAATAAACCCACCTCAGGCCGTGGACTTGCTGGGCAGGTCCTGCATGGGGCTGTCTGAAGCCTCCTGAGAAAGCCTTGGTGGAGCACAGCTGGAGCTCAGGGCCAGGTTCCCCATCCCTGGGGACACTCGAGGCCAGCCCCATCCCGACCAGGAACCAGACCGGGACCTGGCTGAAAACCAGTGCAGTGAATGGAAGAACCGCTGCGAACAAGTAGCTGGTGATGGGGCTGGGGACAGGGTGTGACATTTTCATCCAGCTTCACTGCCAAATCCAGGGAAATGAGAGCAACAGTTCCATCACATTTCATGCAAATGTTGAAGCCTTTGGTGCTTCTGAGACCAGAACTGGGGGTTTTTAGGGTGGTGATGAATTAATCCGGTGGGATGGAGTACCTTATAAATGGTACAAAATGAAGTTACACTTGTGAGCACACGTGCTCCCTGGCCTCCCCATGCCGGGTATTTGGGTATTGTCTCCCTGAGCCAGGATCCCAGCTGTGACCCGCTCCCCCCTGGGAGGGTTTGGCTCTGCATCCTGCTTCTGGGTGCCTGAAATCCCACCCCAGGGCAGAGCTGGGCACTTCCAGGTTCTCCTCTCCCCACTAGGAATGAACAGGGTGCCCTGAGAAGCCGGGTAAGTGGCACAGATCCTCCCTCGGGCACTGGGCAGGAGAAATGCATGGAAAATACCGAGGATTTATCCCCCATCTCTGAAGCCAAGAGGCAGCGAAAGCTCTGCTTGGGACCAGGGATGGTGATTTATGGGTGCAAATGGATAAGTATCCTCCTCTCTGAGCTCTGGGCTCTCGCAAAGAGGCCACACAATTTCTGAGACACCACCTGAGCAGGGACAATGCGATTTTCCAGGTTTTAGACTGAAAATAAAAGACTTGAAACTGTGCAGAGCGTTTAAATTCAGGGATGAACAACCCACAGCCTGATGCAAAAAGAGCTGGGAGCATTTGCTTGCCCAAGGGCTGGAAGAATGATGCGGCCAAGCCGTGGGAGCACCTTCCCATGGGGAGCACGAGCTGTTTGAGATGGCCGGGGAGAGGCCAGGAGCTGCAAGCATCGACCATGTCCTACATCTGGATACGCTACGGCACCCCATCCACCCCCGCAGTAGCACCCCATCCACTCCCCCATCCAGGACCCAGCATCTCCTACTGGAGCATCTCCTGGGGTACATCCCCGGTACCCCCCCACCAGCCCAGAGACCTGCTGTCGGTGCCTCCATAAAGCTTTCCCTAACATTTCACCTAAACCTTTTCCCTGCGTTTTCAGCCTGGAGGTCTGAAACCACCCAGGCGAATCCCTCCCGGCGGTGCCGTCAGTGCTGTCTGTGCCGGCATCGTGGCAGGTCACGCTCGGCTGCTCCATCCGACCCGGCCGTGGTGCGATGCTGACGCAGGGCTGTCGAGCTGGGTTGTGCCGGTACCGTGCTTCCCTCCTGCCTTGCATGTCTTGAAAGACATGACATGGCTCCCTCCCTCCCCGCCTCACGTACGCTCCGGATGGGGTTTGTTTGCTAAGCAGTGCCAGGGAGATTATTCATCCAGCGTTTTTTGCCGTTCACGGCAGCCTTGGCTCTCCCCGCAGAGCCATGCCTTGTCCTCATCTCGTGCGGCTTGTGGTCCCTTCGTGCTCTGGCCCATGCCCTTAGCCTCAAAGTACCAACCCCCTTTGGCTCAGCTAATCCCTTTAATCAGTAAAGATGTTCTGACCTCAACCCACATCCCCAAAAGGGGAGAGAGATGCTCTGGCTCACTCATCCCCAAAATGAGGAGGAGCTGGGGCCAGACTGGACCACCAGGATGCTCCCGCAGCATCCTTGTCCCACTGCCACCCAGCAAGCACAGCTCTGCCCCAATTCCTGAGCGGAGCCATCCTCCCCTCGTGTTATCTCTGTGTTTCAGAGGCTGCCGTGTATCAGCGTGATGATCCCCATCATCACCTGCCCTGTGCATCCCCACTCCCTGCCCGGGGCTGGGACCGGACTGCCTTCATGTGCCCCCCCGCCTCCACTGCTCCCGCACATCCCCTCGCTGTCTGTTATCTGTCAAGTGGTGAGAAATAAAGTGCTGGAGCTGGAAACGTGCTCTGTGATGAGCAGGAAAGGTCTGCAGCTGGGGGGCTGGCAGTTGAGGAGCGTATAGGGGCTGGGGAGTGAGCAGGGGGGCTATGGAGTGAGCTGGGGGGGGGCTTGGAGAGTATGGGGTGCGTGGGAGGGCATGGGAGGCTTGTGGGGGGAACAGGAGTGTACTGAGGGACTATGGAGTGTACTGGGGTGGTATGGAAGTGCACTGGGATGGTGTGGAGTGGGAGCCATGGAGCTACATGAGCTGTTGGGGCTTTGAGGACTCAGGAACTGCTTGGAACACAGAGGGCTGGGAGTCCTGGGAGTGGGGCTGGGGCTGGCTTGGGTGCTCTTGGGGCTGGCAGCAGGACTGGCTGTGCTGCCCGGAGGGGGTGCAGGGCTAATCCGGGCTAATCCTGCCCCTGGCCGGGCGCCCGGGCACGGGCATCTTCCCACACCTGGAAAATCCCGTGCATCCCTGAGCCCTCCCAGTCCCGGCCAATTGGCGCCTGCTGCCTTTATAAGGGACAGACCCCAGCCCGGCTTATCCCTGGGTGGCTCCTGGCTGTGGTCGTCACCTGAAATCCTCCGGAATGATGAAGCTCTGGGTGACCTTGCTGCTGGCTGGGCTTGTCTGCAGCCTGGCTGCTGGCGGTGAGTCGGGCATGTCCCCGCAGGAATGCGGGGTGACACTGGGGTGGTCGCCGATGGGGTGCAGGAGGAGGATTCAGGCCATCCAGATGTGTGCCAAGGGGCTGGGTGCAGAGTGGGGGGTGTCCTGTGTGCGGTGGAGGGGGTTCTGACACCCCACCGAGGTGGGTGATGCCGTCTGTCTTCCTCCTGCAGTTCCTCTTGATGAGACGTCTTCTGGAAGCTCCGGTGAGTTAGGGGTCCCGTATGTGAATCCTGCTCACCCAGG